AATCAGGACCAGTTACATAATTTGCAGGGCCCAGTGCAAAGTGAAAATGTGGGGCCCCTTGTTCAAAAAATCAAATATTTCAAGATGGGACCATCAGAGCCTTAAAGCCAGCACTGGCTCTCATAATATGGGGCCCTTCTAAGGGCAGGTCACAGACCCAGCAAGCTGGCTGGGACAATAGTTTTGTTCTTAGAGACCCTTATGTCCCTAGTATAAGCTGAATCAATGTGAATAAAAGTTTCTAAATTTTAAAAATAGTATCACTGGTCACCCTGTGCATGCATTTTCTTCTCCGTAAAAGTGTACACAATTTATTAACTGAAAACACCTGTGGATTTTCCTATCTGAAAGGCATGGGAAATCTGTCTATCACAATCTTTACCATAATCCGGTGAACAATTTCTCAGTGCCTCAGTTTCCTCATCTGTAAAATGGGGATAATGTACCTACCCTGAATTGTGAGGACTAATTGTGTTAATATGGGAATGCACTTAGAATAGTGTATGGCATATAGTAGAACTGTAGCTATAGTAGAACAGAGTTGCAGAACTGTTTTCTATTATCACTATTATTATTATTACTATTATTATTCAGTAATTTCATTCGCTATACAAATTACAATAATGTCAGATAGGAATTGATTTAATGGCAGTGACAGACTTGGTATGTAAAATCTATCTACCTATCAAAGGTGAACCAGGTATTATAACCTTTTCCACGTTTATGTAAGATTTGCTATTTTTCACTAGAAAAATAGTGACCTAATGAGCAATGCTAATTCTGATGATGCTCTCCAAGCCAAGCATGTTTAAATGTTAAGCTTAGTGATAATTTTACCAGTGCCCTTAGCTTCCTTCACAAAAAATTAACTGGTTTAATTTTAAAGTCTGAACGTTCTGTAAATTATTATTGCACATTGCATTAGAGATATTTTTCATACTATTGTTTTACAATTTTTTTTTTATGATGATCACAATGCAGAACTGTTTTTAGGAAGAAATTCATGGTATATGTAAGATTTATTATGTTTAGTTTTGGTGTTTTGCTTTTAGTTCATCTTTGGTAGTTCTTGGAATATTCATTGAAAAACTTCTGTTGTGTTTTGTCAGAGCTTTGGTCTCTTATAAAAACCCCCAAACTGTTGGTTTAATATGTCCAAGGAAATCCTCAGTCTGATTTCTTCAACACTCTGATTCTTCCTTAGCCACAGACTGGCAAATTTTAAAAAATTTAAATGATATAGACTTCTTTTACTAGAAAGCAACAGTACAATTCAAAATGGAAATCACATTTGTATAAAACACATCTGTATTAGCTTCCTAGGGGTGCTGTAACAAAGTACCATGACCTGGAGGGCTTAAAACAACAGAAATTTACTGGTTAACAGTTCTGGAGGCTAGAAATCTGAAATCAAGGTGTCAGCAGGGCTATGATTCCTCTGAAACCTGCAAGGGAATCCTTTGCCTCTTCCCAAGTTTGGTGATTTGCCAGCAGTCCTTGGTGTTCCTTAGTTTGCAGCTGCATCCCTCCAATCTCTGTGTTTTGTCACAGGGCGTCCTCCCTATGTGTCTCTATCTTCATATTGCCGTCTTCCTATAAGGACACCAGTCGTATTGAATGGGGGCTCATTCTACTTCAGTATGATCCCATCCTAATGTAACTAATTACATCTGCAACAACCCTATTTCCCAATAAAATCACATTCTGAGATACTGAGGTGTTAGGACTTCAATATTTATCTTTTAGAGGGACACAATTCAACCCATCACAACATCCAATTAAAATATTTTTATATAAAAGGGTGAAATTTTACTTCAGAGTTTAAATAATATTAATTTATTCAGATATTGGAAAATTTGCATCACAAGATTTTCCATTAGAACATACAACCAAATAAATATACAATCAAATTCTAATTTTATATGTCAATACAATGTACCTTTTGTTTATGAGTAATTATATATTTTCATGGAATACATCTAACTACTTAGATTTATATTTCCTAAGACTATTATAAAAACATAAGAAATAAATTATGGAAAGAATCTTGTGATATAGATTACTCAAATCAGTAAGGTTCAGATTAAAATGATATAGAGTGAATATGCTTATCCATTTTAATAAAAATTATATATAATAAATTATAAAAATCAGATAACATATCAATTGTGCTCGTTCTCGTTACTTAATTTGTAATAACCTAATGTAGTGTGAAGCTAAGATTTTATGAAACAATGCCGTAAAAGGCATGGTATTTCTTCTGCAAATACGTGTGAACACATGTATCAAATTCTGGGGTTTGGCTTTTGGAGGTAAGTTAGAGCCATGTATTAATATCAGAAATCATTCCATTAACTTTATTAGACATCATGACTAAACTTTGTGCATACATGTGAAGAAGGAGAAAGACGTACACCTTAAAAGTCAATCAGTCTGTGCTTTTCATTTGTAAATGTGAAACAGGAGGTAGGAAAGGACAGCCTATGAGATGCCTCAAGAACAAATGTGTGCTCAGAGGGCTCGGTTCCAGGAAAGACTTACATGGAAGTTGAGGATTTGCAAGTCGATTCCCTTGGAAAGTCTTCGTGCATCCAAATTGTGAGTGTTACTGCTTGGCGAAGCTTATGTCACATGGGGAACCTTAGCAGCAAATGATCTGGGAAATGTAGCTTTTAGCTTTCCAAGTAGGATAGGTTAGGAAGGTAAGCTAGGATGTGGGTCTTGAGTGAAACAAACTAGTTTACAAAATTTACCACTGTGGCCTTCAGTAGAAATTACCAACAGTGTGGCCTGAACTTCATGCTGAACAGACTTAACACTAAATCTGTGTGTGTGTGTACCTTATATTTAACATTGTGGTCTAAGAATCTCCTGGAAACTGTAGTAGCTGGCCCACAGGTACGTAGTCCTGTCCCTGTGAAGAGAGGTAAGATGATTCTTGAGTCCTGTAGCCAGAGATGAAGTGACTTTATTGGTGAGTGCAGACTAACTCATAAAACTCTAAAGAACAACACCTGCAAAGGATGAACCTGGAAAGAATCTAGATAACTTTTTCTATGAGTGCTTTATCAGATTTCATCCAACGTCTCATGTTAGTTATTTTTATTTCCTTGCATCTGTTTCATTACTGTTTATGGTAGCAAAGAAAAACAAAACCTAAAGCAAAAGGTCTGTAAATTTACATGGAGGAGGAATAGCAAATAAATGGAGTAGAACTGTTGAGAGACATTGATTCTGTAGCAAATCAAGCGAGAAGCCCAAGAGACTGAGTAGGTCTTTGAAGAAGTAAAAATAAAATAATCCCCTAAGGAAAAGTAGAAATAAGAGGTATCCCCTGTGGAAGGAACATAGAAAATGGACCCAGTGTGGCTAACAGGGACCCAAAGTAAAATGGAACCAGGCAGTCATGACAGATCTGGCGTTCAATCACATACTTTGTGTTCTTAGAAAAACCACAGACAAACAACTATAAGGACTTCTGATTCCGCTAAGGGTCCTACCTGGAAAAGCCCCCAACGAGAAGCTCCAGTGACAGCCAATCACAGAAGACTTGCAGTCAGGCTGAGCACTTGCAGTCAGGCTGCAAGGGCCATCCAGTCCCCTTTGCAAGTCCCCCAGCTGTGACTTCTGCAGGTTTTGCTTCTGAAAATCCCTCACCTCTTTCACCCTCCAGGGATGTACGTTGGGCACATATCCCCTGTTTGCAAACCTTGCAAACAATAAACCTTGTCTTTTGCTTTAAGACAACCCTGACTCTTTTCTGGGTTTTATTTATGATTTAGGACAACAAAGAACAGATGAAACAAGCTGAATCCATAGAGCTCATGAGAGGGATGTAAGAGCTGTTGGGACCTTAGCGTCCTCAATTATAAAGGAAGAGCTTTGGGCAAGGTGGTTGCACAACAAGGGTACTTTCAAGTCTGCTATTCATCAGTGAACATTCCCAAGGAGGTCCCATCACCACCGTTCCTGGCTCCTGGCCTGAATATGGACAGGGTTTCTGCCCTTCCAGGTCCTCCCAGTAGGACAGGGGAAGGGCAATAGCATTGGACCAGTAAGGAACACCAGGCTGTGTGGTTTCAGACAAGTCACCCAATATCTCTGAGGTGTAGGGGCTGGATAATCTCTAAAGTTCTTTCTAGCTCTGTTGTTCAATTGTGTTTCCCCCTGAAGCATGGGCTCTCTGTTCAGGTTGTTCCCTGGAGACCTAGAAGTGGAGAAATGGGGAGCAGGGTGGGAACTCAGACCATAATATGGAGACAGAGACATCCTTTTGTCCCATCCCAATACATTTCGCCTTCCTTGACTTTGAATCTGTACCTCTTGGAACAGGACCTCTGCAGTCACAGGAATCTCTAATATGTAACCCACATAGACTTCCCTGCTGAGGATGATTTTCCTTCCTTTTCTGATAAAGCTTCGAATCTTGGCCCTATAATGCAGCTTTGAAGCATTCTTTGCACTAGTAATCGTTCCCTTCCACACCTCTGCAGGGTCTGTATCCAGGTTGCCCCTGTCACAGCCCTTGGTGAAGGGAGACATGTCTATTCCATAAAATGGAAGTGAAAACTTTATTCCTTTTGGCTCAGTTTTTCCCTCCCTGGGCCTCCAAGAGGGGCCACATGGGCAGAGTGTAGCCAAGCCTGGGAAGACACAACTGGCTTCCCCTAATTACCCAGGTTTCCAATCATTTTCTGAGTTGGAACTCCAGCACAATGCAACCCTAATCGATGTCCCTTTTTTGGAATGATTCTGCTACCTTTAGCCCTGGAGCCCTGACTCCTGGTCCCAAGGGGGCGAGTCTGGGAAATCATTCACACACCAACATTGATGGCCCCCCATGCTGTGGATATAAGCCCAGAAAGGAGTAGGTCTTGAGAGGTGGCATCTGAGTCATCAAGGCCCTGGACATCAGCCTCCCACATCCTCTCCATGAACGTGTCCTCAAGACCTGATTGTACTCAGCCGGCACGGTGAGCAGACGTGGTGAAGCTGTTGCCATGTTTCCTGGTGCTCATCAACCCTCAGTGTTCTTTGCTCAGGAAGGTAGAGTTTGGTGAAGGCTGTGCCTGTGGTCTGGCCTGAGGGAACTGAGGTTGCTCAAAGCTGGTCCAGGGAACTCTTAGCATGGAGGAGGGTTAAGGGAGAGAGTGAGATATGTGGTCTCCTAATTTTATGGAGAAGTGAGAGAAGAGATCTTTGTGTTCCAGGTTGTCTAACTTCTTTCCTGTATCTCCTTTTCTCTCCAACAGAGAGGGGAAGGGTAGCCTTTGTGTTCCCCATCGAGTCACATGATTCCTTTGCTGCACTGGAGGTGGAGCCCATCAAGGCCTGGCACACAGATTATGATAGATTCTATGCTAACCTCACCCATGATATAGTCTCTAGGCATATAACAACCTGGAGCAAGAAAATGAGGTCCTCCTCTTTAAAGAAAAGATTGAAGTGTGTAGTGGGTTTGTGGGTGGTTCTGATACATTTTTCAAGATCCCGTAGAGCTCTCCTGGTCCAAAGCACCTCTAGGTGGGCTGGGAGTCTGCCCCAGGGATTGCAGAGCTCTGGGAGGATGGGAATCCCACAGTGAGGAGGAGTCTGGAGAAGGAAGGGATTCTCTATGGGGACAAAGGGAAGCATTTGCAGGGGCAGAAGCAGGATTCCTTTGGCGGTAACTTTGATAATCAGTCTTTGGTGGGAGATGTTGGAGATGTGAACTTGTGGGACTGTGCTGTCACCAGTGGAGATTAACAGTGTCTATCATAGTGAGACTTTCAGTCCTAATGTCCTGACCTTGGAGGGCACCAATGGCTGAGGTGCATGGCGAAGTGTTCACCAAGCCCCGGGTGTGGCTCCAAGGTTCTTTCAGATCCTCTCAATGTTCATGTCCTGAAGGGCAAACCTCGGAGATTAAACCTCTCTCTCCCCATGTGTCAGGCTCTTCAGTGTTTGTTTGCTGAACGTTTTGGAACCTTGCTTAAGCTGTGTTGGGACTGCTCTCCCTCCCCCCACACCCCCACGGCTTGTGGGATCTTAATTCCCCGACCAGGGATTGAACCCACACCCTTAGCAGTGAAAGCACAGAGTCCTAACCGCTGGACCGCCGGGGAATCCCCTGGCCCTCTTCAATGCACCATCACCTGACGGGAGTGTTTGTTAGTAGGCAGCCTATTGAAGCAGTAATCACTGGGGATCAGAACTGAGGAAGATTTTGAGCTTAGAGGTACCTTAGAGACCACATGGAATCATGGTTTTCATACATTTCTTTTGAAAACTTGAGACCAAATAAGACTTTATGGTAACACCCCCCCCTCAAAAATAAACAACAACAACAAACAAAAACTGGTAGAAGCAATGTATATCTTTTTAAGCTGTTTAAATCTTCACTATTTTTTGGAAGGTGTTAGCTGTGGGTGAAATCCCTAATTTTTTCCCAGAGACCTTCTTTCCAAGTAACACAATTTGAAAAGGGATGCTTTAGACCAAAGCCCTTATGGCACAGAGTTTGAGGACCTAGAGAGGAAAGGAATGGCTGCAAAAGTAATAGTCTAGCTCAGAGTGGAAATGAAATGCAGGTCTTCTGATTCCCTACATAGTAGATGTATTCTGACGTTGGTCTCAGCCCCTTTCTTCCCATAACTAAGCCTCCACTCCACCCCCAAGGGTGGGTTTTGGCAACTGTGTTTCCACTACGCGCTCTTAAATCACTGACTACATTTGATTTGGACCAATGGTGATCTCCTGACCCAAACTGGACTAGGTGGATTATTTCTCTATTCATACTTTTGAATTAAGAGTGAGAGATTCTCCTTCAGTTTGAGCAGAGTTGAAAGGTGGAGAGAGAGAATTTCCTGGATTCCTGGTTCTTATTCCTGATAAAAGTGCTTTCAGTAAATCCTTTCAGATTCATGCTACCTGCTACTGGAAAAGTCTTTACTGAAGACCCCTACACAGTTTCTTCATAATTTTCTATCATCAAGAGACTTAAATTAGCAGGTTTCAGGTGAACAGCTGTTTGTTGCTGATTTCCAGGAGCCCAAACTTTTTTTTTTTTTTCCCTGTATAGACTTTCTACATTGTCAGAATTTGGTTTAAGTATTTGGCCCAATCTTAAAAATAGAAAATCCCATATAAATGATCTCATATGATATTCAATCTCTCTGTGAATATTTCTCAATGTTGACATTTATGCTGTAATACAATATATCATGGAGAAAATTTGTTCTTTAGAATTATATCCTAAAAAGTAATAGGGATTATGGGGGGAAATATGGTTTAGGGCATAACATCAAAAACTTATGCAATGATGTAATTGGCTCAATGTCCAAAACAGTGACTATTTCAATAAAACTATTATCATTCATATATCAAGTTACAATAACCAAATAGTGGACTTTACCTTAAAAAAACCCAGATAAATCTAACTTGATAGAGAGGTGTATAAGTAAAGGTTGAGTAGTGGAGATAAAGGCAAAATGCATCAAGATGAGAGACAGCACAGAAGGTACTTCTAAGACAGAGCACATGCCCAGGTGGACCCAGGAAGAATATTTGGTTCCGCATTCCTCCAGTTTGCTGTATTCCCTTGTGTTGGTGTACTTTGTGATAGCTGCTGTTACTTGGTGGTGGAAAATAGTAACTGGCTGAGAAAAAACAACGATGCAACATCTATATTACACTGATATCATTCCCTCACTTACCAGTCACACCTGAATTAGTTCTTGTCCCAAAGCAAGATCTGTAGCTGAACAGAGTGTACTAAAGACCAGTGGTGGTGGTGCTGGAATTTCTGTATTCAAGGGGCTTAGGAGTGGCAGTCTGGTTGAAAAGGGGTACTAGGTGGTACTATATTGAAACTACATTTGAATAGCAAGTATATTTTATTATTTATTTTTTACCTAAGTCACATCATCCCCTCCAAAGTTGGCTCTGGCTTTGTTAATTACATAAGAAAGTGATGTGGCAGAAAGTATGCTGTTCAGAGATGGCCTGGAGCATCGAAAGCTCATGAAGTGATTTTTTAAAAATTTATTTAGTTTTGGCTGTGTTGAGTCTTTGCTGCTGCACGCGGGCTTTCTCTAGTTGTGGCGAGCGGGGGCTACTCTTCGTTGTGGTGCGCGGGCTTCTCATTGCGTAGCTTCTCTTGTTGCAGAGCACAGGCTCTAGGTGCATGGGCTTCAGTAGTTGTGGCATGAGGGCCCAGTAGTTGTGGCTCGCTGGCTCAGTAGTCGTGGCTCACTGGCTGTAGAGCACAGGCTCAGTAATTGTGGCACATGGGCTTAGTTGCTCCACGGCATGTGGGATCTTCCTGGACCAGGGATCGAACCCGTGTCCCCTGCATTGGCAGGCAGATTCTTAACCACTGAGCCACCAGGGAAGCCCCAAAGTGATTTCTTAAGTAGTGTATTTGGCCCCACGGGCTGAGATTCAGAAGCATCAACAACCATTTCAGTTCAGAGATCTGCTTAGGGTGATGACCAAGATGAAACAAAAGGGAGGACAGGAGAGAGACCTTTCCCAAATGTACTTTACCAGCCTGAACAGTTCTTCAGGAAGAGGCCATGGCAGCAGCTTCTGGGGCCCAGAACCAAACATTCCTGCCCTGAATGTACTTCTGAGGCTGTGCAATTAGGTGGGAGCTCCCAGGGGGTGTCAGAAACAGGAGATGTCAAAAACATAAGACTCAAAGGGGTGGATGGGAATCAAGAGTATTTGATCACACAGAAACAGAAAGGAAGATGTATCAAATGAGACATGGTGATGGGCATTGCCAACATCCTAGATTACTAAACTGTTCAAAAGGTTTCCAATGTCCCCAGTGCTGCTGTCAGAGTGAGCAGAAGTAGAATTCTCTCCCAGCAGGGGTAAATCCATGGACTTCAGATTAATCTCTCAAGGGATTGCTCCCAAATGAGTTTATATATTGACTCAGGACAATCGACATCAGTTCACTTGTGTCTTGTGAAGCTAAACCAAAATTTTCTTCAACTATTTTCATTCTCTCAACCATTACAGGTTTCTATTATTGCCTTTGGCAACATTGAGTCCTGGGTTTGGAGAAAATAATTTTGTCTGGGATATCTGATTTAGTAGCTGTGGTAGTAGCTTGTTTTCTACATTTTGTAGGTGGGAGTCAATGCTGTGGTAATCTTGTGTGCTCTGTTGAACTCTTTGAACTGTTTAAAGAAAGAGCTCATTCAACTTTGCAGGGCTTGTAGGAGCCATGCTCCTCTTGGTGGAAGAAGCCCAGGCTGCAGATGCTGAGGGAATATGTCTCTGCAGTGTGATGCTGGCTGAGACAAAGCAGAATTAGAAGCTGGGGAGAATGAATTTAAAGGCTAATTTCTTTGGATTTTTAACTCACAAGGTGAGAAAATTTGACTTTGGACTTTACTTACGAGGGAATGTAATTTTTAGACTTTAATCTCTCCCTGGAAATTTAATGATGAAGAGTTTTGTATTTAGATTTGGGGCATTATATGTTGTGGGCAATTATTACTGAAACACATTAATACTGTCATTTAATTTCATTGCAGAACATTTGATGGAACCATATTTGGATGATATGACTAGAAATAATTTGAACTGGGAACAGTAGGGAGTTAATTTTAGACTTGGTTGTAGCATGGCCTCAGAGTTAATTTAATTATTCTATTATTCTGACTATTTATTCTGCCAGCAGTCATAGGAGAATTTATGAAGGAGCACTGGGGATAGTTACATCTCTGGCTGGTCACAGGTATATTAATTGAGCCATTTTAGATTAAAAGAACAAAAGATAGAGGTATTTTTGAATGAAATATTCGCTCCCCATTCCTGATGTTTCCTTCCACAGGATGAAAGCAGCATTAGAGGAATGTCCCTGACCTCACTTCCCTTATCCTCATTCATCTCCAGGGGAGAAGACAGTCATGTCCTGAAGCTGGCTAACACAGGCTTGGTACACTTCTTCCCAACTCTGCATTCAGTGACATCACATTGGTAGTTTGAAATCAGCCCTAGTGGGAGTATTTAAAGCATAGAACCAGCAAACACTACAAATCAGGGCTTTTTGTTCCAGATAACCAGTTTACCAGCAGTATATCTGTCATTTACTCTGAAAGGAATGACTTCTCCTATTATTGACTTTGGGATAAGGAACTGAGCATATGTATGTCAGTCCTTTTCTCTCCCCTCCGTGTGTGTGTGTGTGTGTGTGTGTGTGTGTGTGTGTGTGTGTGTGTGTGTGTTGGGACCTACCTGTCTGCAAATAGGACTTGTTTGGGTCTACTCTCAGCAATTTGGTGACTTTGACAGTAAATACTCTTCACCTATGAAGAGTAATCTGTCTGGTCTAGCACCACCTGGGACTGGGTGAGTAAAGCTTTTTATATCTGGGGATTGGTATTAAGTCATCTTCACCAACCAAGTCCCCCAGCCCCTTCAGTTTTAAAGTCAATGCTTTGAACTCTGTCTGCCTTCTTAATTTCTCTCAATTGTTTCAAAACTCCATTGGAAAGGAGAGTAGAATTTATAAGCATCCTTATACCTCAACACTTACATTTTCTCTCTTGAGTTTTTTGGAAGTTGTATGTATATACATTCTTCTACTGGTTATTTTTAACTTAAAAATATTCTGGGTTTTTTTCTAAATTATATTTTTTATTTTGAGAAATGATCTTACCAAGAACTGGAAATTTGCATCAGAATTTTTAAAACTAAAACTCAAATAATTTAAAGAAAACTTTACCCTCTGTCCCAGTGCTGTCTTTCTTACATATTTTTTCAATAAGTTGACATTTTTAAAATAAACTTTTAATTTTGAAATAATTTTATATTTATAGATAAGTTGCGAAAATAAGGCAGAGAGTTCCTTTATGCCCTTTACCCAATTTCCTCTAATTTTAACATCTTGAATTACAGTGGTACATTTGTCAAAACTAAGAAAATCAGCATTGGTCCATTACTATAAATTGAACTCCAGTTTTCATTCAGATTTCCCTGGTTTTTATACTAATGTCCTTTTTCTGTTCAAGGATTCCATCCAGGACATGACGTTACCTTTAGTCATCATGTGTCCTAAGCCTCACTGGTCTGTGACAATTTTCTGGGTCTTTCCTTGTGTTTCACAACCTTGACAGTTCTGAAGAGTACTGGTCAGGTATTTCGTAGGAAGTCCCTCAATTTGAGGTTATCTTATGTTTCCCTCCTTATTAGACTGGAGTTGTGGGGTTTTAGCATAAATGATTTATTAAAAAATACTTTATAAACACAATACATATGTAGATATTTATATACATTATATAATATCTTGAATTCTAAAAGCTGAGTAATAGATATCATTTAAGTAGCTTTTATAACTTGCCTTTTTTATTAAACTTTGTCTTAAGAGTCAGCCCTTTTGAAATACAGGCTTTTTTTTTGCTATAATGTGATATGTGCATTTCTGAAAATCCTCATGTTCAGCATAATTGTGCACTAAAAATAGCAGGGCTGTGGGATAACTAGACCATAGATAATTAGGGACAGACCACTCAAAACCTATGCATGGGAGACCTTCAAGATGGCAGAGGAGTAAGACACGGAGATCACTTTCTTTCCCACAAATACATCAGAAATACATCTACATGTGGAACAACTCCTACAGAACACTTACCGAACGCTGGCAGAAGACCTCAGACCTCCCAAAAGGCAAGAACCTCCCCAAGTGCCTGGGTAGGGCAAAAGAAAAAAGAAAAAACAGAGACAAAAGAATAGGGACGGGACCTGCAACTCTGGGAGGGAGCTGTGAAGGAGGAAAGGTTTCCACACACTACTAAGCGCCTTCACTGGCGGAGTTGGGGGGGTGGCGGAGGGGAAGCTTCGGAGCCACAGAGGAGAGTGCAGCAACAGGGGTACAGAAGGCAAAGCAGAGAGATTCCCGCATAGAGGATTGGTGCCGACAAGCACTCACCAGCCTGAGAGGCTTGTCTGCTACCCTCCGGTACAGGGTTGGACTGGGAGCTGAGGCTTGGGCTTTGGAGGTCAGATCCCAGGGAGAGGACTGGGGTTGGCTGCATGAACAAAGCTTGAAGGGGCTAGTGCGCCACAGCTAACTGTGAGGGAGTCCAGGAAAAAGTATGGAACTGCCTAAGAGGCAAGAGACAATTGTTTGGGGGTGCACGAGGACAGGGGATTCAGAGCACCGCCTAAATGAGCTCCAGAGACGGACGCGAGCTGCGGCTGTCAGCACAGACACCAGAGACTGTCATGAAACGCTAAGGCTGCTGCTGCAGCCACCAAGAAGCCTGTGTGGTGATCCAGGGACAACTTCCCCAGGAGAACACATGGTGCGCCTCAGGCTATTGCAACATCACACCAGCCTCTGCCACCGCAGGCTCGTCCCACATCCGTACCCCGCCCTCCCCCCGGCCTGAGTGAGCCAGAGCCCCCGAATCAGCTGCTCCTTTAACTCCGGCCTGTCTGAGCGAAGAACAGACACCCTCAGGCAACCTACAGGCCGAGGCAGGGCCAAATCCAAAGCTGAACCCCAGGAGCTGTGCGAACAAGGAAGAGAAAGGGAAATGTCTCCCAGCAGCCTCAGGAGCAGCGGATTAAATCTCCACAGTCAACTTGATGTACCCTGCATCTGTGGAATAGCTGAATAGACAACGAATCATATCAAGATTGAGGCGGTGGACATTGGGAGCAACTGTAAACTTGGGTTTTCTTTTCTGCATCTAAGTTGTTTCTGGTCTTATGCTTATCTTAGTTTAGTATTTAGAGTTTATTTTCATTGGTAAATTTGTTTATTGATTTGGTTGCTCTCTTCCTTGTTTGTAAATATATATATATATATTTTTTTCATTTTTTCTCTTTTTGTGAGTGTGTATGTGTATGCTTCTTTGTGTGATTTTGTCTGCATAGCTTTACTTTTACCATTTGTCCTAGGGTTCTGTCTGCCAATTTTTTTTTTTAATATATTTTTTAGCACTTGTTATCACTGGTGGGTTTGTTTTTTGGTTTGGTTACTCTCTTATTTCTTTTCTTTTTTCATTTTTTTCTCTTTATTTAATTTTTTTTTTATTTTAATAACTTTATTTTATCTTCTTATTTTTTCCTTCCTTCTTTCT